CTTTTATTTGACAAACCCTATTGGGGTTCATAAAGTACTTTACCAAATATATAATTTTTTATACAAAAAAATTTATAATATAATATATATTATAATATAATTATTTTTAATATATTTTCATATTACTTTATATTAACAGTAACCTTACATCAACCTTACAGTAACCTTAAAGGAAGCTTACAACTACCTTACCGTGTAAGCTTACCACAACCTTACCATGTAAACTTACCATGACCTTACTGTGTAAGCTTACCTTAGCTTTACTGTGTAAGCTTACTGTAAGGCGGAAGTTTTAAGATGACCTCAAGTTTACTGCAGGCTTATACAGTAACCTTACAAACCGTACAGATATCCTTACAGTAACCTCACAGCAAGAAGTCGTGCTATGTGGGTTTAAAATTTTAAAAATCTGACTTCAGATTGGACCGCCATATTGCATCCGCCATTTTGAATTTTCACATTCAGACATCATATTCGTTATCAGCGACCCCAAAAACCTTAAAGTAACAAGTTTCAAGTAAATTCGATGAACATTTATAAATTTCGAACGCCATATTGAATCTGCCATTTTGAATTTTGAAAATCTGACACATTTTCGTAATCAGCGACCCAAAAAACCCTTAAGTAACAACTTTCAAATGAATTGGTGAATTTTTATAAATTTCGACCGCCATATTGGATCCGCCATTTTGAATATCTGACATCAGATTCGTAATCAGCGACCCGGAAAACCCCGAGATACCAGGTTTCATAAAAAATTATTAATTTGTACAAGATTTCCAGACATGGATATCTTTTTTGGTCCTAGTTTCTGAAAATCATTGATTTTTTCATGTGTGAAAAAAAAGTTAAATTTTGTCGGACGGTGTAATCTTATGATTTTGAAAAATATCTTTTTTTACTTATAGTGATTATAATTAGGTATAATTAATGTAATCTTAATTATTATCACCATTATTTTTATTTTACAGTACTATTTATATATTACATTATGTATATAAAATATATTATATTTATAATATAGTATATATATAGTATATTTATTAATTATTTATTAATAAATATCTATAAAAACATTAATAAAAGCATATTTATCTTATAAAGAATTCAAAAGTTCGCGCGTGAAATTAACCGGCTGTAAGTAAAAACTGGCATAATCGCTCAGCTGAAGCGGGCGTATATGAGGAAAACGAAAAATAGGAACACCTACAAGAGTAAGGGCACCGTTTATACTTGGGTCTGTGGCTGTATGGAGGGAGGCGCACGGGCGGCATGGTGGGAGTGGAATTGGTGTGCAGTCTGGCATCACTGCATGTACAAGAGCAGCAAGTGAACAGGTAAAAAGATTTGGAACAACGATCTTATATAAGAACATGTACAAGAATAAGCATATGTTTATTAATGGTAATTAAAGAAATTAAGCTTACGAATCCATGCTCGTGCACTTAAATAAGATTGTGCGTAAGTTCATGTACATGATCATGTGTTAATTTTTTTATTTTTGCGAAATTTGTGGAAATATTTTACATTGGTCTTAAAGACTCTTTGTTCATACATGCGAAAAACAACTGCGCAGCTATATAAGCCGTAGAAAACTGTGTCAAAAAAAGAATATTAAGTATTACCAAGAATCAAAAATTAATTATAAAATGTTATTTAGAAAAAGACTGAAAATTACCATGCCGAGTAGGTAGACAGCCTTCTCCAACACGTGTCGTGGGGTGCTGAAACATCGATTTTAAATAATCATCTGTTAATAATTTAAATTTGTTAAAAATTTTTTTCTAAAAGGTTAAGGTCTTCTGCGTGAAAAACATTTATAACATTTTTCTCTATTTGTAGTAGGAAAAAAGTTATATGTAAATTAAAAAAATATTGCTCAAATTTGTTATTGTAAATATCTCGAAAAATATAAAAAATTTCAAATTCAAAATTTGTACATTTATTTAAAACCACTATCACTACAATTTACCGAATTTTGAGAAAAATCCGAGACATAACCCTGTATTCTCATATGAAATGCCTCATAAACTGTAAGGGATAACTCAAGATCTTGTATATGATCTTAGACACGATCTTGTTCCTGTACACGAGCACGGACTCGTAAAACTTGATTTATTATGAATAAACATAAGCATGTTTTTGAACATATTCTTGTAGAAGATCGTTGTTCCAATTATTTTTACATGTTCACTTGCTGCTCTTGTACATACATACATGACCTGGTGAACGGACATGTGCAAGGTCAAGCACAAGATCGTGTATACGATCCTGTACAAGTTTTTTCAACCTGGGAGAGACGATGAAATAGTAAATTTTATTACTAATGGACAAATAACAGTAAAAAATGACAGCAATAAAGAAAGTAATAATAGTATAAATATTTCTATATCTAATTAAATAAATCTCTCTATCAGAAGCTTTTTAAATATTCAAAAAATTATGTTTTAAATACTGCCGATTTCTCACCACAACATCATGAATGATTTCAAGAAGTGGGAAATATATCAGAAAAACAAAATTAATATTCATCAGAAGAATAATTAAAATTTATAGTTTCAATATGTTTTCTGTTGCGTCGCAACATTTTGTTTAAAATTAATAAATTTTAGTTTTGAGAAAGTATTTATAACTAATTCAAGGTTTATCTATTATAGTTTTCTTATCTTGTTTTTCCATAATAAAAGATTTCTCATAAATGTTATCATGAAATTTAGTTTTTAATACAAAACACAACACTACATTTTACAACACACAAATAAATCTAAGGCTTATCCTAAATCTTTCCATCTTAAAAATATAATTAGCGTCTTAGAGAGAAAAATAACAAAATGTTAAATAGTTTCCAAACTGTAATTTGTATACCTTATTTGCTAGTCTCAAATGTCAGGCACAATTCAGAAACTATGCAATTGGCGATTCAAACAGCTACACTAGCGCCACAGTTGAACTAATTTAGGCGTGACTCGCTCTGTAGCACTCCATGTGTTTTAAATTATTTTTTTTTATTTAACGCTTAAAAATAATTTTACAAACGCAATAAAAATATCAGAATAATTAAATAATTTGAAATAAACTGTCAAAACAGAGACTGCTTTAGAGCGAGTCACGCCTAAATTAGTTCAACTGTGGCGCTAGTGTAGCTGTTTGAATCGCCAATAAAACGCTGGAAAAAAGGAAGTTTATGCACCTAGGATTAGGATAATTTCTCCAACCCTAATAGCCTGACCTATACACCTTCGCTCAGACATGTAACGCTATTATTGAAACTTATGGAAAACTGTATTAATCCACCTTTTTGGGTTTTTCCAAAAAGGAACCAATAATATGAAACCTGACCCTCCTCATGTAAAATTCTACATCCCTTCCATCGCCAAACTCTCCGCTCCTCAAAACTCTTGTTTTTAGAAATCAGAACAATTTTGAACATCATACTGAAAGGATCATCACTTGTCGTGATCCTTTTATCAAACACGCATTCACTTCAATACACGAAACAATTGTATCACACTAAAAGTATAAATATAAATATTGTATGTAAGGTAACATAATCTTTGTACCTTTTTTTACCACCTTTTCTGATTAATTAAGAATAAAAATTTAATTAATTCAGATCGCGATTAAAATAAATGATTTAACATTTTCGTTTATTCGCATTCAGAATCGCACACTAGTATAATAGTTCAGGAGCGAGCGACAGTTTTTAGTGTCTTACACTACCATCGAATATTGTCGGTACGGCTGACGTGCGAGGAGTGGAAATTTGATGCTGAATTTAAAGCGAGATATTTTAAGTTAGAAAAAAGTAAGAGACTTGTAACTTAGATTGTTGGAAAGCTGATAAAATTCTGCGTCTGAATGTATATCAGGAAAATGTTTTTGATTTTTTTAGCATTTATAACATTCAAAAGATTTCAAGAAAAAATTATTCAATTTTCCTACATTCGTACTAATGTTTTTGATTCTTGGCATAATCTAGAATAATGTATGGAAAAATTTGACAATTTTACAACATAAACTTTAAGGTCTTAGCTTTAATTTGCATTTTTGAAACTTAAAAATGTTTTGTGGTTCCTGAAATATGTTAAAAAGGTCCGAGCATAATTTTCTACAACTCAGCCGTCGATCATCACTTTTCGCCGCATCGCTGCTGGGTTGTAGAAAATCATACACGAACATTTCTTAATATATTTCAGGAACTGCAAAGCATTTTTTAAGCTTCAAAAGAGCAAATTATAGCTAAGATCTTAAAAATTGTTTTAAAAATTTGAAAACTTAAAAAATGTTTTGTAGTTCCTGAAATATGTTAAGAAATGTTCGTGCTCGGACCTTTTTAACATATTTCAGGAACCACAAAACATTTTTTAAGTTTCAAAAATGCAAATTAAAGCTAAGACCTTAAAGTTATTCTAGATTATGCCATGAGTACGAAAATCTTGCTTCATAGTCAGCATCAAATTTCCACTCCTCGCACGTCAGGCGTACTGACAATTGCTGCCGGTAGTGAACACGGAGAGAAAAAATAAGCGTTTGTAGCATGAAAGTTCTACCTTTAAACGCATGAGACATCAGCTTACTACGATTGCATGAAGTTATGCTTTTTCGGTATAGTTTTATGCAACTGTAGTATAAGGACACGTCTCTTAAGGAGGAACGTCCATACAAAATTAACATAGAGGGCTCCCATACTACAAACCCTTGACTTTTCTCTGCGTGTATATTTACTGAATTTAAAGATCATGATAAATTTCACGTGGAATTGCTCATATATTTATAATTATTAATTATTAAAAATAAATATTTTAAGTATCTATTGGTTCACGCTTATGAATAATTTGTCACCTTGTTAATAACCTTGTTTCTTAGCAAAAACTTTTGACAGGTCTCTAGAAGGGTTTCCAGGGGGTTTTGAGAGGTACAAACTTGGACTCTTCAAAATCTTCTCGATCCGCTTGGGATATAAAATATTAATTGCTAATAAAATTAAAAACACATCAAAATTAATTGAATACAAAAATATTTATTCTAGAATACATTCATAATTTAACAAATAAAATTGTAGATTTGAAGAGTCTTGAGCAAACAATATAGTAAAAATTATTAATAAAATATGAATACACTTAAAGAAATTCCTTACTATAATAATTGAACGAATACTATACATACTATAGTAATAAGAAATTTCTATTTGTGTAGATACAATATATATATATTTGACCAATACCGAAAGTAATTATTAGTATATAAATCTTAAGCCAATCCAATGATACCACAAGCAAGGCGAGCACCAGCCGAACCGGTTTTAAGACTATCTTCAGTTCTTCCGCGTCCTAAGTCATCTTCCTTTTCATGAATAACTATTGCTCTTCCTATGGCACCACGTACACCCATTAGAGTCAAATAATGATCAGTGCCATCGACCTGCGCAACTCCATCTTCACCAACTTGAATATTACCTAGATCGCCAACATGGCGCAGTGGATCGTTTGGGGCACCATGTTGTACCTAGAACAAAAGAATATAAATTGACACACCATTTTAGAAAGGTTCTTTCTAGAACACTATTTTATCGTTAAAAATTTTTAATATTTAAGATAAATCAATCAAAAATTATATTGAGACAAGGGTAATTATAATATGAGGGATTTATGTTATGTCAACATTATTTAGTAAAAAGAGAAAACTTTGCCGTTTAGGAATTAATTTAACATATAAAATAATAAAATATACATATATGATAGCATATATATTCAAAATTTAATATAAAATCACTTTTTAATAAAAAATGGTATTAAAACATTGTAATTAACGAATATTGCTTGTAAGCCACTATATTGTAGTCATTCGCAGCCCACGTAGATCGCACATTCGTACAAATATTCAATTTTCTTTGTTGTTTAAACTGAAAATAATACTTACAATTATTTGTTTATTAAATAAATAATTAGTTAATTATTAATTTATGATTAAGTTATTCGAAAATTTTAAAAAAAGGAAAAAATATTTGAAATATTGAACAGTCATCTAAAACACCTTTAATTATTATTGTCCTGTAAAAACGGCACTGAACGTAAAGATTATAAAGATTGATTTTAAAACACTTTTTTCTCGAAACATGGATCTTTATCTTATAAATATTCTAATTCCGCAAGAGTGTACGAATCCATGCAAAATGAAAAATAGTCAAGTAATATAATAACAGCTGCAACTTTGTGCTTCTGCCATCTGACGGCGACAGGACGTAATAAATTTGTCATTATTTTACTTTCCTATTTTTCATTTTGCAATCGAATTTTGGCATTGATTCGCATAATCATTCGGATTTAGGAAATTTATAAGATAAGGATCCTTAATACGTAGGCCCATTTTGTAAAAAGTATCCATGTTTTGAGAAAAAAGTATTTTAAAAGCAATGTTTATCATTTTTATGTTCAGTGTTGTTTTGATATAGCAATAATTAAAGGTCTCCCTTTAAGAGACTTTGAGAGACCGAAGAATTCTAGAGACTGTATAACACTTTTAAATCAATATTTAAATTAAATTTTATTTTTAAAAATTTTTTAACAATTTAATTATAAATTAATTTTTAATTTATTACCCAGATAGCATAGAATTTTTCAGAAAGATAACTGTAACTTAACGACCATAAGTTTGGAAGTTAACACCGTTAACAATAAAATGATAATTTATAGAAAAAGTGAAAGAAATCGATTTTTCCTTCCAATCTACAATAATACCTTAATCGTCTTTGATAATACTGTGACTAAAAATTGTAATTACTTGATAAGGGTTGAAATGTGCTCCAGCTGAAGAGCATCCTTTTGTTAAATCTCCCTTTTCGTGAACATGAAATCCATGCAAACCTGGACTTAAGCCTTTGATTGTTCCTGTGATCCTAACGCCATTTGGTAATTGTTCTAAATTAAGTGTTCCACGAGGTCCATCAACAGGATTACCATCTTCTCCTAGAGATTTCAGTTCAACAATTGCCCTTAAACCAATAGGCTGTAACAAATATTTCTTATTGCTAAATGGTTTTTTTTTACAGAATATATACTTTTGAACATGCACATCTCTCATAGCAGTTTAATATTAATTTTTGGGTAGGGGAATTTGAGGTATTATGAGACACACTTTTTCCAACATCTGTAACTTCCACGCAAGAAGAAAGTGATTGAATTTGGTGGGATGTGCAATGTGTGCATGTTAAAAAAATTCCATTACGAGTGCATATCAAGGCCACGTTAAAAATATATGTTTCTTCATGTTCTTGTCTTTTTAACTAATTCCTGTTGAAAATCGCTGTACAAGATCTTGTACAAGATTTTGTACAATTTCTGTTATAAGAACTTGTTTCAAACTCTGGTGCAGAAATTGTATATTTTCTTGAACAGAACTGGTACAAGTTCAGCTGCTGAATTTGCGTACAGAAATTTTCAACAGGGATCACATAAGATTTTCTTCATTAACTTCGCTCATAAAAGTACCATGCAAGATCCACCAACCAGTTTCTATCAGTGAAATCCAAGGTATCCTTGTTCGATCCCAGCTTCATAGACATTTTTTCATTAATTCTGTATAATTTTAAAAATTTTAAATTAAAATAAATTTAATAGTATTACTGTATTGTAACTTAGAAAATATTGTTGGAAAACTTTAGGATTTCGTATGATATTTTTTGTAATATTTAATGTGGGTAATTATGAAGAATACCACGTACGAAAGAACATTTTCTGCTCTCACGTTCATCAAAGAACAGCTTCTTTTGGTACTTCGTGCACAATATACTATTGTAGGTGTCAAACTTTTTAAATGTTATAAAATAAAAGCGTGTCTCACAAATGTCCATATCTAACAATACCTCAATCTCCGCTAACGTTTATGCAATAAGTCTCATTTGAAAGGGAAAATTATTTGTTAAGAATTTAGACGTCAGGAAATAGGATTCGGAAAAAAAGACAGAATGATATTGGTTTTCATAATACTAATACACAATAATTTTATGCTAATTATTAATATGTGTGACATGATATTTCCTAAAAATTATAAATAAAACATGTGAGAAAAAAATTCTTTACTGGAGGTACATATTTAGTTTACCTACTACCCTGAATTTTCTACCACCTTACCACTATGGTGTGGTTTAACGAGAAAGACACTTACCGAGACACCTGGTCTCGAGGTCGGACACTTCGTGAGACCTGACTTTATGTATTTAAATCTATTTATATAGTCGTTCTCTGTTTAAGAAGTTACACCACTGAAGAAGTTTCAAAAAATAATTTTTGTATTGTCTTAAAAAATCCTTTAACAGAATAACAAAACAAATGTTTGGTACCCATTAAAGATCTTTTATTTAAAATCCCGTGCTCTTTTCCAAATGCCTCACAATAAATATATGCTTCAGGAGAATATTTCTAGCACCGCTATTTTGAAACATTTTGCAATAAAATCTTTTTTTCTTCACCTTAAGATATGCCTATAATAACGCCCTATAATATTCTTCTCTTACTTTTTCTTACACCAAAATTGAACACTTAAAATATGCTCGTCAATATTTTAACGTGATTTTCTTGAAACACGATTTTTCAAATTGGTACGCAGCATAACTCAAACAATTTTCATTTTTTTCATTATAATTTTATATCATATTTTTAAAACGAAATATCACATAGAAATATTTAAATATTAATTTCGACTTCTTATTATTTAATTTTCTTTTGAGTCGCAAAATAGAGTCCAAAATTACAATTAAAAATTAGATTTTTCTTATTCTTATCATTGATCTAACAATCCTTTTATATTTTTTTCCGTTTTTATGAAATAAAAAGAAAACTATTTTAGGTTTTTTCTTCTTAATGTTTAAACCTGTATTATAATCATTAAAAAAGAGGTCGCACAATTTCCTTGGGTAAAAGTATATTCTAAGAAATAATATCACAAGTTAATTCTAAAATTTGTGCTATGTCATTTTGATTAATTCATCGACTATAAAATTTAATTATATTATTTTTGTAATGTATGAGTTCATCTTTAATAAAATAAAAATAAATAAATATGCAGTCTGTTGTAGAATACATTTTTTACGATCATTCTCAATATAAGATAGAAAATAAAGTTTTATGAAACTGCTTTTTTATTTATTGAAAGATTACACAAATCTAATTGTAAGACGGACAGCTTTTATGGAGATAAATAAATCTTTTCCATTGATACCGACAAAATATTTTATTATTTAATTTTTCCCGTGTTTTTAATAAAAATTTCTAACTTTCCACTGTTTTTTCAGACCAATTTCATTCCCCAGAGTTTTCCCTGAATTCCCTGATCTATGACCTATAATTATTTGCATTATCTGAGAAGTAATAATTGCTCGAGAACTTGATTTCTTTAGTTACCATGAATAAACATATGCATGTTCTTGTATATATTCTTGTACAAGATCGTTGTTCCAATTCTTTTTACATGTTTATTTGCTGCTCTTCTACATGACTTAGTGAATGAACATGTGCAAGATCGGGGCACGATCATGCACAAGATCGTGTACACGATCCTGTACAAGTTTTTTCAACCGGGCAATGCTGCGCGCGGTGTTTAAATGTTTATTTAAAGCTATAAAACTTATCGGCCCAATATAAATTTTTTTGAGAAATATTCTTACCCCCACAGCACCGAAATTTCCCTAAAGATTTATTTGAAATGTTCGGAATATTTAATTGCAATGTTTAGTGAAAATTGTGTAAAGATTTAAATGTCCCACTTGAATAAATGTTTAGCACTAAACATTCCTGAACATTTAAATGAAATTTTCGCCTAATTATAATTTTATTTTGCGTTAAAATTTTGCAGTAAAATTGAAAATGATAATTAATTTGTTATTATTAATATTTGTTTTTTATTAATATTTAGTTGCCTAAAATTATAAATAAATTTTGAAAAAGTGAAAGATTGTTCTTTTTCTTTTACCTTTACGTCTTCCAAAAAATCGAAAAACTAATTTATTAATTTGTTATTAGGTACTTATATTATTAATGTAATTAAATATAATAAAAGATGCATAACATTTTTAATAATAAATATATAGTATTAAATTATATTTTTGCTAAATAATTTTAACAAAATGATCTTTTTAACAGAAAAAAGCAAATGATTTCGACTGAGGCGTGAAGTTAAAGAGGGTAACTTTACCTATGTCAAATTGAGTAAAAAAAGATTTTACATTTTAGTTTTTTTCTATGAATCCACTAAAAACTATATTATAATCTTTAGATGGAAGAAACTAGAGAATCCAAGCTTTCCATTTAGACAACTTTCAACAAAATTGAAGATGACATATTTAGAGAAACCCGTGCAGAAATTGCCCTACTACTTTTTCTGTATACTACTTTTACTACTTTTCAATATAATTTGTTTATCTACATTGTTTAAACAATTTAATAAAAAAAATTAATTTATAAAAACCAATGCTGCCATTTGATTTTTTTATTAAATTGTTTAAAGAAATGAGATAAACAAATTATATTGCAAACAGAAAAAATAGGGGTAACTTTTTTTTCGGTTATGTTGTAAATCCAATAGTTAGTTTTGATGATTTTGCAATTCCCAGAGCAATCGTACTTTTTTTGCTAATTGTTTATAATTATTTATTGCAAAAAGGTGTGGACGGATAAAAAAGTTGTAAAGAGAAAAGTTGCTTATTTTACTACGTTCTTTTGAATGGCTGTATTAGTTTTTTAGAAATCGAAACTTTTATTAAATTGTTTAAACAAATTATTTTGCAAAAAGAAAAAATATGGTTAACTTTTTTTTGGTTATTCTATGAATCCAATAGTTAGTTTTAATGTTTTTGCAATTCTCAGAGCAGGGACTGTATCGTACTTTTTTTACTAATTGTTTATAATTTTTTATTTCGAAAAATTGTGAACGGATAAAAAAGTTGTAAAATCTGTAGAGGTTTAAAAAAATATAAATCTCTTTTAAAAGAGGAAAAACAAAAATTGAATGAAATTTTTTTTACAAAACTATGATTATCAAAATGACGAGAAAAAAGAGTAATATTGAAGTCCTCAAAAAAGCTCCTCATCGGAGAAAACTAGAAGCCTTCAAAGAGGTAAAAAATATTAAAATGAAAAATTTTATGCCATAAAGGAGACATCAAAGAAAATTCAAGAATTAAAAATATAGATAACATTCATTAAAAAAAAATTTGGTAAGAGGATGATGATTTAAAAAAAAACAGCGCTTTAGAAAAAAAATATTATGTAAAATATATTTATAATATAAATTACTTTAAAACAAATCACCTTATAAATACAAAGTATCATTAAGTTGATAGGATATATCATATTAAGTTTATTCATAGAAAAATTGAAAATTCTCAAGTACATTTATGTCAAAGAAAATTATAGTATTCTGTTGTTATTAAACACAAGTTCGACAAGTAAGCGGAATGACTGCTTCTGTACGTCCGTCATATTTCTTTCTAGTGACTCATCATTTTCAATGATTGACAGAAAGTTTATCAAGGTAAAATTGATTTACGCATTTTCTAATATTTAATTGAATATTTCAGTGAGTTATTATTTATTTAAATTTATTGGAAGTTATTGTAATTAATTATTTAAGATAAACTGACTATAATAAAATATAAAATAGTAATATAAATAAAATTTTGCAGAATTTTTAAATTATATACATCAAAAATATTTAAATTTTTTGAAAATTATTTGTCTGAATTATTAAATAAATTTAGAATATTAACAAATTGTTAAAGGTTATTGAAAAAAAAATTATTATAAACAATAATTACTACCTATAATAATATTTTATTGCTAATTAAAGATTGAACACCAACAAGATGAAAAATATTTCACTGAGTACATTAAACATTTCGTATATCTTTTTGATTTATTATTTAAGTACAAAATTTGTTTACATATTAAACACATGCATTTTAAAAGTACACACTGAAAAAACGACCCAGTGGGCACCGGGACGTCTAAAAGACGTCTTTTTTTGTCCGCGGACATCATGGGGACTTTAATGATAATGTCTCGAAGACATCATAAAGACATGCAAAGGACGTCTTTAACATGTTCAAAGTCGTGGCCAAAAGACGTCTAAAAGACATTCAAAAAGGATGTCTAAAAGACGTAGATACATTTTCTAAGTTTTTTTTCTAAGTTTTTTTTTCTAAGTTTAACACATTGATTATTATCTTATTTAAATTTTGACTTTTTTTGTTTATTTTCTACACGCTTATACAGAAATCAGGAATGAAAAAATCCTTCCGGAGTTGGGATCGAACCCGCGATACGTTGGGTTAAAACTCTACGCCTTAAGCGTCTGAGCTATCGGAGACAGATAAATTTCTTTACAAAGTTTACGAACTTATTTGTCAATAAAATGAATCGAACTTAAAAAATTTCTATAAGATTTATCTTAAAAAGTTTCGATGTTTACCTTGAACTTAAAAAATAAAATATAAAAGTTATTTTTATGAAAAATGTTCTATTTTCAAAATCTGAAAAAGATATCCTTTAGACATGATAAAGACATCTTTATGAACAGAGATAGAACCTGTTTTGGACGTAGCTCAGACGTATTATTCACGTTTTTAAGATATACCATACGGGGACAAATTAAAGACGTCTTTAAAACGTCCAAAAGACGTTTTTTGTGATTATTCCAAAAGATGTCCGCAAAAAGGCATCCTCAGGACGTCTTTTCAGCAAGTGTGCCCACTGGGGATATTCTAGTTTTAAGTAGGCATTCTTAAATATCGTATCGTCTCTAACTATTTCAAATTTTGATCTCGTAAAAATATTTATTTTTTAATCCGTGTTTATGATCCGAGTTGTAAACATTAATGCGTTAGGACAATAATAATGTTACAGGGAAAATTTTAAGAAAGTATAACTTGTTGAAAAATAAATTTTAAAAAAATCGAAATTGGAAATTGTTAAGGAAGATATGATTTTTGACATGCATGTGCTAAATATGTAAAAAAATTTACTAAAATAAAAATTCGAAGTTTTCTAAAATTTGAATTTTTTCAATTTTCAGGATCAAATTTCTCGAGAACCTAGAGTGAAACATTTCTGTTTAGAAATTCGTGTTCAGCTTCAGCTAAAAAACTTAAAAGAATCGCCCTACGGGATCCGAGAAATAAAAATTCTGTTTTACCGTAAAATTTAAATAAATAAAAAAATCACAATTAACTTTGACATTGAGACAAAGCCTGACTAATAATCTTAAAAATGGGACAACAATGGCTTTACAAGAAAATTTAAAAAACATGTAGGGTTAGTTGGGGTAAATGGGGACAAAATTCCTATTTTTCACAAATTACGTAAGTTTCTTCCTCTTTAAAAGGTAATATTTGCGGGTTTATTTTTTTAAGTTATTACTTACATTCCCAGGATTAATTTTATGCAGCAGAAAAAAATTTAGATAAGCTTTAAACGCATGAAACTGACTGTCCCCATTTACCCCAAAATTTAGAAAATTTCCTAAAATTGGGGGTAAATGGGGACAGCATAGTTTCTAAGAAAGGTTTAAAAAAAAGTTTTCTTAAATATATTACTGTATTAAGGGATGAAAAAACTTTTTAAAAAATTTGTAATTTATATATAATAGTTGAACCAATTGAAATTTTTTAATTAAATTTTTTTTTTATTTTAGTATTTTGTCTTGCATTTGAAAAAAAACAGACTTAAAAATCATACAAAAAATTTTCCTCATTCCTTAGGACTCCAATAACAGAAATTCACTTGAATTTTTTATTTTTGTTAATTTGGTTAATAATAACAAGCTGTCCCCATTTACCCCAAAAATTTGAAAACTCAGGGTAAATGGGGGCAGCTTGTTATTATTAACCAAATTGACAAAAATCAAAAATTCAAGTGAATTTCTGTTATAGGAGTCATAAGAAATAAGAAAAAAAAATTGTGTATGATTTTTAAGTTTGTTTTCTTTAAAATGCGAGACAAAATACTGAAACAGTTTGACTTTGATTTTCATGCTTTATGCATTGAGCGATAACTTGAATAATCTTGCTGCCAATTGTCAAGATAAAAGCTTGGCAATACTCGGAACCTCGTGTAGGTTATCTGAAGTTAAAATATTGACGTTGAACTTAATTTCAAAACTGTAAATTAATCTCCAACACCTCTCGTCCCCATTTACCCCAACTGACCCTAAATAATGTCTTCCTTTTTTTATATTTACATAGTTTTTTAAAAGTTTTTTTTTGAAAAACTTTTCTTTTCATTGAAAATTACATAAATTATATTACTTAATATTTTTTTATTTCTATAATAAATTTCTTATTATTAAATTAAAAATGTATAAGGGGTGTAGGATGGAAAGAAGTTAATCTAAATTCTTATTACTGTATCTGTAACTAAACAAAATTTACATTTTAAAAATATTGCAGTGCATATGTTAATAATTTAATTTTTAACATTTTGAACCATAACCATTAAAAGCTTCGTTTAAATAAAAATGAAATTTTTCTGTTAGTAGAGAATCAATTACGCACTGAAAATCGTTTCTTACTATCTGAAATTTTTAATCCTTATCCAAATGTAATTTTTAAGTTAAAAAATGAAAGTTTTAAAAATTGAATGCTCACCCTTTTATTAAAAAAGTTTTCAATTGAAAATATTATTTATGTTTATTTATTTTTAATATTTAATATTTATGTTTATTTAGTAATAAATACATACAAAGAGGTAAGGTTCCATGTAAACTTCATAGACATTGCTCCTTACACCTCTTAAACCCGGTAAACTTCTGATGAAAACATTCCTATCATTCGTGGAAACTGTTGTCACTTTATCGGTAGTTCCTCCATTCGTTTCCCAAATTAAACTTGCAACAATTACAATAACTTTCGATAACCGCATAGTAATAATTGATTCTTGTAGTTGAAAGTGAAACGCACCAAAATCACTTTTACTGAAATTTGTTTTTATAACTGAGACTAACAATCATGAATTATGTTACGTCATTGAAAAAGAACTGCGGTGACCAGAGGCTCGATCTACGTATAAATACTCTAAAAGGATCTTCAGAGACCTTGATGATCGATGAGCAAGCACCTTCTTTACAATAACTACCTTCCTTTTAAAAATTGTACATTTGCCGAAATACAGAATAGATAGGATGAAGGGATTTGACGCTATCAATGTCACTTGAATCGTGTCTCACGATGGTATAATATAGGTGTACCAACTACTACTTACTTAAGTTGATATACAGCGGTCATAATTATTTGCACGAGTTACGACGGTGCACATGCATATGTGCCTGTATGGAATAAGTGAAAGTAAAGGGGCAAACGTACCCTAAGGCAATGCGGCGAAGCCTAAGGCAGATGAAGTCTTTCAAATTTTGCAATTACTGGGATTGCAATTAACTTCTTAAAAACAAGAAGCATATAAACAAATTTTTAGATCTTTTAATTTTTAAGTCCCTGTTACTTTTTACTTAAAAAATTTAAAAATTATTATTAATTTTGATGATTCCATCAACATTAATTACGATTATTTGTAAAAAAAAATTATTTGTAAAAAAACTTTTAAAATAGAGATACAGATTACTATTTAATTTATGGTTTCAATTTGTTGAAGTACCTACTTTTTATATATTTTGCATTCACATAATCAACTACACTGGCACGTTTTCGTTATTCAATTGAAAGAAATTCGAAAAGAATTAGGTAAATCACTTTCTGGTAAAACATTTATATTACTACTCCTAAAATTAATGCTAATAATTGATAACCACCATGACGTAAACTTTAATCCGACTTTGATGTTCCTAATTTATATGACTTTTTTTTACTTTATCAAATATTATTTCTGACATAAAATTTATCGCTCTTTTCAATTGTGGACCAAATCTAGTGTATATTTAACAATGAAAAATTTATAACAACTTTATTCCAAAAAAATCATGACTTTTCCGGAAATTAATTTTTTTTTTCAAAATTTTAACACAAAATATGGCGTTTTCAAATCATTCAAATCATTTTAACTACTAATATTAAGTATATTTGATTATCTATTTTCTAAAAGAATTTTAGAATCTAGTGATTTTTTTGATAACATCATAATAATTGGAAGTAGACTAGGAAAATATGATAAATCGACTTTATTTTTAACAACCACCTGTGACAAGAATTAATATCGTTGTTAGAAATAGTCTTTTGTGCAAGTGTGCCCACTGGGGAGGCTGTAAGTAACAAAAAACTAAGAAGAATGGTATATTAAAAATTTCTCTAACCTTCCCAAATTTTGATTTTAGAGCAAAAAAATTGTTTTCACGTATGTTTATGAATAAAAATTTTTCGACTTTAACTGATGTTTACGACATTAATTGTATTTTAAACATTTTTTGCCTTCATTTAATATTCAAGCGTACTAAATTCTGCTTCAAAGGAGCCCTATTTGAATTGATTTCTTTAAAAATTGACTGACTTATTGCAGTGTTTCTATTTAGAAGACCAGTAATAAATTGTATTTATCAGTTTTGGCGCGGTATCGGTTGTACTAAATTCAGTAGTACACAGATCAACTCGATACAGTTAATTTTATACAATTAATTCTATACAGTTAATTCTATACAATTCTACTGCATACAACGAAATTAAAAAATAAATAATATTAAATTTGATATAGTTTAATTCGAAAAAGTTAAGTTGTGTACTGTTCAACTCCACACAACTCAATTTACGAAAATAATAATAATGCGTTTAACTCTATAAGTTTTAACTGAGTGCAGATAATTTCGATAAGTTGAAATTTTTTATTCTTTTTATCTGTATACAGTTCAATTGTGTACAAATATTTTTAAAGAAAGTAAATTTTTAACTTTGCACAGTTTAATTTGACAAAGATAAGTTGTATCCTGTTCAACTCTACATAAGTAATAATTTATTTTTAACTCTATATCGTTAAGTTTTTTACATATTTTAAATTTGATTAATAACATGCAGTTTATTTCTATACAAAAAAATAAAATTTTTAACTCTATACAGATTAATTCAACCCAGTTAAATTGTATACTGTTTAACTCAATACAAAAGGTTTTTAATGTTTAAGGTCATGTGACTGTTAGGTCTGTAATGTTAATATTTATCCGTAACTTTTTTCATAAAATGCTAAATGGATTAAGCTGAAATTTTGTGGGGGGGGATTTAAAATATAATGAATAATGGTTGTGAAGTACGAAAATGTTGATATATTTTTAAATAAATATAATAAAAGGCATAAAAATTGTTTGAAAATTGGACGCTCCTAACCACACATTTTCTAATTATTTTCAAGTGTCCATCACGACAGGATTTTTTTCTAACCTCAAAAAACATGTCGGATTTTGAGAAGTAGGCGATTTTTTTAAAAATTGATGTATTAACTTCAAACTTGGGATCTGGGGGTTTTTTGTGTCGCTGATTACGAATCTGAAGTTAGATTTTCAAAATCCAAAATGGCGGATTCAATATGGCGGACGAATTTTGAAAAAATTTTAAGATTTACTTCAAACTTGGTATATAGGGGTTTTTTGGGTCGCTGATTACGAATCTGAAGTCAGATTTCCGAAATTCGGTATGTCTGATTAAATATTATGAAATTATTTTTAAAAAATTGTCAGATTTTTATGAAATTTGGTATCTACAGGTTTTCTATGTTGCTGACAAGTACACTGAGAAAAAAGCACGCCGTTTCAGCGGTAAAGTCATGCAGTTTCTGCATTAGTGACACTGCAAACAGAAAACGGCTGTTTTTACATTGGAACACTGCAGTTTCTGCATTGGAATACACAGCAGTTTTTGGCAGTGCTGTACAAACCTAAAAAATAAATTTTTAATTTTTTTAAAATACATTTCTTAAACATCTTATAGTTAAATACTATATAGTAATAACAAATGTATTTTTATAATAATTATAATTTATTTCATAATAATATAACTTATTAATATATATTTATGCACAAAAAAATTAAGTCAAATGACAAATATAGAAATTAATTTAATTAATAAAATAAATAAAAAATAATAATAATAATAATAAAATAATGAATAAATAAAAGAAAGTAGATTAATTTAAACGTAATTTAATGTTATTTTTAAAAAAACAGTGAAAACACTACCATAATATAAAAAAATTAATATACGCACGTAGTTTTCGTAAAAAAAATGATCTAATAATCAATTGCAAAGACATTTTACAATATATTATAGGTTAGGATTGTCCATTCGGCATACTTACTTTCAAATCTGTCAATGAATTGGTCCAGTTTCCAGTTATATAAAATATTTTTAACAAATTCATCCATTTTTCACTAATTGTTATTCACAATAAACATTAAAATATTAAAATAATGAAAAAAACGACACAATTAATAAATATACGCAAGTGCGTCTGAGAGGAACACAACGAACGGGACATGTGACACGGTAGTTATAGAAGAAAACTCATGCAAAAATTGCAGTGTTCCCACAGTCGTTTTAGCGTTCTTAAGCAAAGCTGAACCCACATGAGTGGATGGCGCTATTTTGGCATCGTTTTTTTCTCAGTGTAACACTAGGGAAGTGCCGTACGCCGTTTTTTCTGAAACTTGTCAGTTTTGTAGTTCTTTTGAAAACAATTTGACACGTATTTTTTTGTTTTTTTTTAAATCTGACGTCAGATTCGTAATCAGCGACCCAAAAAACCCCTAGATACCAAGTTTGAAGTAAATAAATTAATTTTTTTTAAAATCGCCTATCTCTCAAAATCCGACATGTTTTTTGAGGTTAGAAAAAAATCCTGACGTGATGGAGCAAAACGGACTTCGGATTCGTGTTCAGCGCGTCAAAATACATAGGGATAGGGTATTCCGGTCAAAAGTACATGACACTTTTTTTTGTGGGGCTGTGTTATTTAACAATATATCAACATTTTCGCACTTGACAACCATTCCTTATCATATTTGGTACTCGTCTATAAAATTTTTACAGTCAATTTTTAACAGTCACATAACCTTAACCCTATACAGTTAGTTAACTTAACTTAACGATATAGAGTTAAAAATGAATTATTACTTGTGTAGAGTTGAAAAGCGTAGAACTTACCTTTGTCAAATTAAACTATGCAAAGTTAAACATTAACTTTCTTTAAAAAAGTTTGTATTTTTAGAATGCTTGTATAGAATTAAACTGTATACAGATTAACAAAAATAAAAAATTTTAATTTATCGTAATTATCTGTGTACATTTAAATCGTTCAGAGTTTAACGCATTATTATTTTATTTAAACAATATATATCAATTAAATTTATTGTCAAAAATTGCCTTCAGTTAACCCCTCTTTTGTTCTGGGCATCTCGTATTTTTGAACTATTATTCAAAAATTAATATCTAAAAAATGGCAAAAGTAAATCAAAATAAATAAAATGGAATCAAAAGAACAGAGTAAGTTTATTATATATTACCTTATTAATAATTACTTAATATTAAAATATTTCTGAAAAAAAATATTTTTTAATGTCGTTTACATTGAGTAGTTTTTTTTTAACCTAAACTTTGACTAGACTTTTATAAAATTGGCGGTGTTTGGCAGTGTTCTAATTATTATAAAAATGTTACGTATTTAAAAAAGAAACTGGGCACCAAAAATTACGTTGCGATTTTTTGCGTTTTTTGAGTAAATAATTTTTTTCTTAGACAACTACCCAATTCGGTATTTGGATTTGTACCAAGCTGCAACTTATAATTCAATTTTAAAAATAATTGGCGGTGGTAATATTTCCAACGAATTCAAAGCTTATTTATTGGAAAGATGTAGAAACATAACCAAAAAGTTTAATACTCGCTGGGACAAAAGTTATCGTAAGATAGAGGTATTTGAAAAACAAAATTCGGAATGGCTTTTAAATGAGGTGGAAATTAAAAAACTAGAACTACCACTAAGTAATATTACAAATAAGGGTGGTCGTCCACGAATTCCTTTTTCTGAAAAGTCCGATCGAGCTCAGAGAAGAGATGCTGCAAAATTATCTAAAGAAAACGCAGATGACATAGATTTAATTCTTCATGCTGCTAGTATGGCAGCTCGCAAACGAAAGCAAATAGACTTAGCAGTTGTCTTGAAAAATACCAAACAGGACCCAACAAAAGCATCAAAAATTAGAAAAGTACTCACAAAGGAGGAGATAAAACCAATTCGATTTTCCGACAACGAGGCCTTGGCTCTTATATTATAAAATAATTTCACAAAAGAACAATACTGCAATATTCGAATGGAAAGTAAAGTTAGAAATTGTGATATTTTTCCTCTATACAGTAATGTCGCGGCTAGCAAATTAAAATGTAGACCTATGAAGGAATAATTATAACAGAAAGATCAGCAAAAGTGTCATTGAAAAATCTTCTTCAACACACAATAGCAAGGATAACAGATCTACAACAGGAAGTTATAACAACATCAATGGAGACTATTGAAAAAAGTTTTTTGAAGTGCGAATTTATTTTCAGCTATGGATTTGACAGTTGCACTGGGCAGTCTAATTACAAACAAAAATTTCAAGAACCAAGTACATCTGAAAATTTTGATTCTTCACTTTTTGCTACGACGCTTATTCCTTTACGTCTCACTGATAAAGGTGGAAGGATTTTATGGAATAATCGTACACCACAATCAGTTAGATTTTGTCGCCCGTTAAAACTGGAATTTACAAAAGAAACTGAAGATAAAATTTTGGATGAAAAAGAAAGCATAGAATAAGAGATCGAAGAATTACAATCTTTCACTATCAAAATTAATGAAGAAAGAAGCGTAGAAATAGACTGTAAATTGTTTCTAACTGTAATCGATGGAAAAGTGCTAAAAGTTATAACTGGTACAAAATCTTTTCAAGCGTTTACCATTTATAGTGCTACACCAAAAGATTTTTTGACTGTTACAGATTTTAAATCACAAATATTCGAACCAAAAGAAGATAATTTGAAACACGGAATAAGTCCATTGCATTGCTGGATTAGATTTTTTCGAGTTTGTGTTACATTTAGCTTATAAGCTCGAAATAAAATAATGGCAAGTACGAGGTGAAAAAACAAGAAGTTGTTTGCAGAACGGAAAAAGGTAATTCAAAATTTATTTTTGGAGGAGTTAGGATTGCAAATAGACAAACCGAAAGCTGGAGGTTTCGGTAGCACAAATGACGGCAATACATCTCGACGTGCATTCCAGGATCACGCTAAATTTTCTGAAATAACAGGCGTTGATAAAAATTTAATTTATAATTTAAAAATTGTTCTGATTTGTTTATCCTGTCAGTTACCATTGAACGCAGAAAAGTTCGAATTATTTTGTCATCAAACTGGTAGAATGATTATGGAAAAATATCCCTGGTGCCCGATGACAGCTACAGTTCATAAAATTTTAGTACATTCAAAGAAAATAATTGAAACTATGATTCTTCCGATAGGATATTTTGGAGAAAAAGATATTTTGGAGTCGCGCCACAAAATTTACAAGAATGATAGATTACATTATGCTAGGAAAAACAACCGTACCAACAATATGGCAGATATTTTCAATAGAGCTTTGGACACCTCAGATCCTCTTCTTTCTAGTATTAGCTTATGTTGTGACTCGTATAACCTTTTTTGTTAAAAAACTTGATTTTCGTTGTCAAGTGTTATACGCGACTTTAATTCAATAAATATATCGTTAATTTAAAGAATTTAAATTATTTAAGTACATAGGTTATTGAATAAAATGTTTGAGAATTTCAACTATAATAATACGTTTATTTTAAAGACATAGATCCTTAATCTAAGACTGTTGGAAGGATTCAGACCTAAGTCAGCTGTACAAAAAGTGTCAAAGACTCAAAATACATAGTGAGGACTGCGAAAATAGTGGGAGTAAAATAAAATGGCGATACAGGTTTTAGCCATTTTCGACGTATATTTCTGCAGATGCATCCTTACATTGTAAACTCGATCATAAACGTAATCCCTTAACGAAAGGCGTGGTGCAGATAACCCAAACTTCCGCTAATTTCGATTTACAAGTTTACAGATTTATTACTAAGGCAATATAGATAAATATAATCCTAAAAGGTACAAAAAGTTCGAAACGTTCAAGCAGTTTACAAAAATTCTAAATTATTTTCGGTATAAGTAATAAACTTAATCTTCAAATATTCTCATATCTCACGTTTAGGGATAACTAAAGTTTCAAAAAATATAATAAAGGCAAAAAAAGGATAAATACAATTTCCAAATCTGTTGAGGGTCTTAACATGCCGGCCCCCTTGAAGGGTCGTCTTCAAAATTTATGTAAGTTACGGTAGTAAAAGAAAGAAACATTGATATATAGATTTAACATATGATATCAGAAAACATAGATAACTTTGATTATATAAAGAAATTGTATGTATAATGCATAATAAAAATTTCTTTGTTTATATGGAAATGACGAATGATAATTGAAAGAAATGAATTTTAATTTCATCATCAAGAGTATCTCAAACACCTTTTTTATCATTGAATGTCAATTGGTAGAGGGGATAATCCTTTAATACTACGTTTATATTCCCCATTAGCCGTTTTGACCGTTACTACGCGAATGATCTCATCATTGCCTGGATGGACATATGTTATGCGTCCAAGAATCCATCTCATCGGCGGCAAATTATTATCACGTATTGTTACTAATGTACCAATTTTCATATCAGTAGTGGCATCTTTATGCCACCCCCTACGAATTGTCAATTCGTTGAGATACTCTTTGTTCCAACGAGACCAGAAGTGTTGTCTTATTTGTTGGACTTGTTCCCAAGATGATAATCTATTTGATTGTATGTCCATCAAATTGTGTTCTGGCACGTTTGTTATTGAATCACCGATAAGGAAATGACCAGGAGTTAGAGCGACCAGGTCATTTGGATCTGAGGACATTGGAGTTAGAGGACGTGAATTTAAAATACCCTCTATCTCAGTTGCAAACGTGGTGAATTCTTCATAAGTTAAAATTCTTTCTCCGACAACGCGTACAAAATGATTTTTAAACGATTTTACAGCAGTCTTCCAAAGACCACCAAAGTGTGGAGCCCGAGGAGGTATAAAATGCCAATTTACTTTTCCGTAGTTTGCAAGATCGCTTGTGATTTCCTGCATATTTTCCGCGTTGTTTAAAAATTCATAGATTTCAAGAATTTCGCGATTTGCACACTTAAAATTCGTAGCATTGTCTGAGTAAAGGTCGGAACTTAATCCACGTCGGGAAAAAAATCTTTTCAAACACGCTAAGAAGGCAGCAGTGGTTAAATCACTAACAATTTCCAAGTGCACAGCTTTTGTAGTGAAACATACAAAAACAGCGACATAAATTTTAACCTTGATTCGATTTCTATACTTCTTCTCTTTGATATAGAATGGACCGCAATAATCGATGCCAGTATGTTTAAAGGCGCGTTCGAAAACAATACGATTTTTAGGCAATTCACCCATTATGTAGGTCGGGAGAAGCGGTTTCGCGCGACGACATATTACACACTTATAGATCAATTTTTTACGGCATTTTTACCATCAATAATCCAATAATTGCTCCGAATTGCATTGAGAGTGGCTTGCGTGCCCGCATGTAATGATTTTAAGTGTTGATCTCGAATTATAAGATTAGTCACGATATGATTTTTAATTAATAGAATTGGATGTTTACGATCATAATTGAGATCGGATTGATTTAATCTACCTCCAACTCTAAGAATACCCTTGGAATCTAGAAAAGGACTTAAAGGTGATAGTTTACCATTAATTGAACCTTTCAATTTTAAATCCTTTATTTCATCTGGAAATGTTGCTTGTTGAGTAAGTCTCATTAAGCAGATTTCGCTTTTTTTTAATTCATCTGGAGAAAGAGAGCCAACAAGTACTTGATTACGGACTTTTATATTGATGAATCGTTGGCAATAAGCTATTATTCGTAAAAGCTTGAGAAAAGAGCTTGATAGTTTAAAGAGATCATTAGCGAATTCGTTCTCGCAATTTTCCCTTTCAACTTTATTTTTGCCCTTGCACGTTAAATTGACAGTTACCTTTTCTATACCTGATGCCGGTTTAGATCCTACAATCGAAATAGGCCAGTTTTCATCATGGTCATTTATCCATAAAGGACCATTGAACCAAAAGGAGTTTTGTATGATTTCTCTGGGAGAAAGACCTCGCGAAACTAGATCCGCCGGATTATGTTCAGTTCGAACATGACGCCATTCGTATTGATTCGAAATTTCTTGGATTTTAGCAACTCGATTTGATTCAAATGTTTTTAATGTGTGAGGAGGGCTTTTGATCCAATGTAGAGCAATTGTCGAGTCCGACCAAAAAATTACCCTTTGAACTGTTAATCTGCGCAACGCGTGAGATGTTGATTTAAATAAGTTACATAATAGTAAAGCAGCACAAAGTTCGAGACGAGGTAACGTTAAATTTTTAAGAGGAGCGACTCGCGATTTAGAGCATATCAAATGTGTATCAACTTTCCCTTGATTGTTAATGGATCGAAGATAGACACAAGCTCCGTAAGCCTTCTCACTGGCATCACAGAACCCGTGCATCTCTAAACGTGAATAATCATTGAGAACTATTTTTCGATCGATATTTAATTCATGTAAAAGGGGAAGTTGATTTTGAAAATCAGACCAAGCTGTATACACTTGTTGAGGAACAGACTCGTCCCAATCTAGTTCCAGTAACCACAATGATTGCATCATAATTTTTGCCTGTAAAATGACAGGCCCTAAAAGCCCGAGAGGATCAAATAATTGTGCAATTTGGGATAATATTGTTCTTTTTGTGACGGATGTATCGATATTAGATTTTGTAACTGAATATTTTAGAGAATCGGATCTAGGGTTCCAATAGATGCCTAACCTTTTAGTAGTTTCTCCGAAATTCAAGCAAATATGAGTATCATTAGATTCCTTTGACAGATCAGAGATAAGATCAGGTTCATTTGAAGCCCATTGTCTCAGCGGCATTGCGCCGTATTCCGAAACGCTAATTAAATCGTTTACTAAATTTTTAGCTTCGTTAAATTCACGCTTACCGGAAACTAAATCGTCTACATAAAAATCTTCTTTTAATGCAGTAGCTGCGTTAGGATATGATTCTTGCACATCATTAGCCAATTGAATTAACGAACGTGTTGCTAAAAAAGAGGCAGAAGCAGTCCCGTATGTAACTGTATTTAAAGCGAAGATTTTTATAGGTTGATCACAATTTTCTCGCCAAAGAAATTTGCGATCATCGGGATGAAGTTCGATTTGGCGGTACATTTTCGTGATATCGGCAGTTATCGCATACACGTGAGATCGAAAGCGTACCAATAAAGAAAAGAGATCATCTTGGAGATTGGGACCTACCATGAGCACATCATTTAGAGATATTCCTGTTGATGTTTTTGCCGAGGCGTCGAAAACTACACGGAGTTTCGTTGTCAAACTTGACTTTTTAATTACGGGGTGATGAGGCAAAAAATAACCGTCCGAAAAAGAATCTGACGCGATTTCCGTCATGTGACCTAAATCCTCATAATCCTTCAAAAATTCAGTATATTGCATTTTAAGATCAGGTTGTTTGTTTAAAGAACGTTCTAGAGCGTAAAATCGTTTAAGTGCTCGACTATATGATTTACCGAGTTCTGTTACATTTCCCTTGGTTGGGAGCCTAACCATATATTTACCAGTTTTTTCGTTTCGAATTGTATTATCTTTATAATGATCTTATCAATTCATCTCTTCATTGGATAAGACATTTTCATTAGGTACATTTTCGATTTCCCAGAATTTTGATATTTGATTGTGCAATAAATTTAAAGAAAGATTGCAAGTAACTGCTTTAGAAATTTCTAATCCGGGGATTTTTCCGCCTAATATCCACCCTAAGTGAGTTTTCTGTAAGGTGACACTGTTATTAACTAACGATATTTGACCAACACAAAGCAATTTCAAGAATATTTCTGCACCTATGAGAATATCGATTGACCCGGGTATATGAAATTCTGGATCGGCCAAGCGGATATTGGGAGGAAATTTTAACGCAGTCCTATTTATTGATTCACTTGGAGTATATTCGTTAATTGACTGGGATATCAAAAATGTCAAGTTGGTGCTGTATTTATTTAACCGCGATTCAATAGTAGCACTCGTTATTTTGCTTATACAAGAACTCATCTGATTCACGCCACCAAGAGGAATTTCACGATCGAATTGTTTCAGTTTTAATTTCGCAGCCATTTTTTCAGTGATAAAATGAACTTGTGAACCATTATTAAGAAGAGCCCTACATGTGTGTGGGTTTCCCTTGCGATCTAAAATGTGAATCATTGCGGTTGATAATAGAATTTGAGAAGACGCTACATTGTGTAAACTAGCAAAATTAACCTGAGCCTTTTTCTTGTCATCTTCATGCAGAAGGGTGTGGTGTTTTTTATTACAAGTTTTACAAAGAACAGACTTGCAATTTTCCACAGTATGATTGCTTCGTAAACAATTGGTACATAAATTTAGATTTTTTACAATTTCTAAATGTTTAGCTAGATTTACATTTACCAATTTTTCACAGCTTTTTGTAAAATGTGATTCTTTGCAAACATTGCAGAAGGGAGGTTTGTGTGTAGTGTGATACGATGCAACGCGATTTGCATTGGATTGCTGATTAGGACGATTACAATTACGTTGTGGATTATTATCCTTGCGCGGGAGGTTTTTTTCTTGTTTATCGTGTTTATTTCCTACTTTATTGACTTCTAAGACCTTTTCACGACAGTGTAAGAATTCAAGTAATTCTTCCATTGTTGGATTATTGTTAGATTGCATGTGCTCCTTCCATTTCAAACGCGTTTGAGGATCTAATTTTAAAGTTACTGCATAAATTGGAAAGGCTTGGAGAAACGGTCTATTTAAAGCCTCTAATGCGCGATGTTTCGTTACATTGTTTAAGAGATCTCCGAGGGAAGATGCTGATGCATTATGACAATTAGGTAATTCAAAGAAAGATTTGATATGATTATTAATAACTAGAGTAGGATCATCGTAATACTTCTCTAATATCTTCCACGCGACTTGATAATTAGCATCAGTAGTTTCTAAAGACTCTATTTTATCGGCAGCCTTATCTGATAAACAAGATCGCAAATACACGAGTTTTTGGGCATCTGTGTAGCGTTTTTCCTTATGAACCGAGGATTTGAAAACATCGCTAAAACCCGGCCATTTTTCGTAAGAACCGCTAAAAGATGGTAAATTTAGTGCAGGTAATTTAACATTTATTACTTGTTCGTTTATCGGATGCATGAAACTGGAGCCAGGCGTCATAATTTGCGGAATATTTTCACTGACCGTATCACGCGAGTTTGACTGTACATTTAACTGATTCGTAATTATCGGAGTCTTTATATTAATTAGTCCCTGTGCCTTGGCGCAAAGCGCGGAAAATTTGTCTTCGAAATCGCCTCTAATTTTATACTCTTTATCGATTTCATTGTCGGGCACTAATAAATCCATTTCGGTTTGTTTTTCATCAAAATTTGTTTTAACCAAATTTAAATCAGCTAATTTAGCCTTTAATTCGAGAAGGTCTAGAGAATCGATAGGTTTTTGAAGAAACTTCTCAGCTCGCGTTAATTTCGATTTCAAGGTACCGATAAGCCTTCTTAACGTTTTTATTCGATTTTCGTTAGACATTTTTATGCAACTGAGATATAGTGTATTAAAGGTAAAAAGTGGAAATCTTAGACATTACTAAATGTGATTCAAAAACAAACATGCAAGACTCACCCTTCTGGAACTCTTGTGATGAACTTTACACTGATAGTTAAAATGACGAATTGAATATGAAAAATACACTTTAACACATTAACGATCAATGACACATTATAATGACGAATAACCTGAACAGTTCACTATTATTGTCAAAGTTTTATTCACTTCACAGGTTTTGAGTTCCTCGTTGATGATAGGTTGCTACGTTCTCGACAAAAATCTGCTACTTTAATTCAATGTAACTTTTATTGAATTAAATATTGATCTCGTTCGGTGCACTCGTTCCGTTGTAGAATAAAGTTTAGTACAATGTTTGCGTTATTGTACAAATACTAATTGAATAATGCTGGATATCGTTCACGTTCAATGATGATCAATCGTGATTAGAAGATCAACGATAAGATTAATGCGTTGAATTCTCGACTCGTTCATAGGATTTTGAAAGGAAGAATCTTCACTTTTTACCAATGCATTTGGTTGATAATTTTCGTTTTTCGTTAATGCTTGTAAAGACACCTCTAAATCCTCAATAACCTTGTAGATTGTGATGTAACTGCCAATCCATTGATGCTGGATCCGGCTTGAAGGACCAAATTTTATGTTGTGACTCGTATAACCTTTTTTGTTAAAAAACTTGATTTTCGTTGTCAAGTGTTATACGCGACTTTAATTCAATAAATATATCGTTAATTTAAAGAATTTAAATTATTTAAGTACATAGGTTATTGAATAAAATGTTTGAGAATTTCAACTATAATAATACGTTTATTTTAAAGACATAGATCCTTAATCTAAGACTGTTGGAAGGATTCAGACCTGAGTCAGCTGTACAAAAAGTGTCAAAGACTCAAAATACATGCTTTGATAGTTCTTCCTGAAAATAAACTACAAGTTATGCGATACTCTGGTGCTAAAAGCGTCATAAATATAATAAATTATCAAAATTAAATAATATAGAGTAAACTCTGAGTGAAATTTTTAATTCTTTTTTAATCATTTTTTTTCTCTTAATTTTTTAAAAACTATTAATCAGTTCATTTTTAAAGACCATGAAAACACCAGAATGATGATTTTCGGGAGATTTTCTCAATTTTAAAAATTTTCGTCCCCCATATTGGATCTGGAATTTAAAATTTTTAAAAATTCACATCAGATTCGTTGTCAGCGACCCCGAAAACCCCTAAGTAACAAGTTTTAACCAAATCGGATGAATTTTAAAAATTTTTCTTCCGCCATATTGGATCCGCCATTTTGAATTTTAAAAAATTGACATCATATTTGTTATTAGCGACCCCAAAAACCCCTGAGTAACAAGTTTTAACCGAATCTGATGAATTTTAAGAATTTTCGTCCGCCATATTGGATCTGCCATTTTGAATTTTGAAAAATTGACATCCTATTCGTTATCAGCGACCGTAATAACCCCTGAGTAATAAGTTTTAACCGAATCTGATGAATTCTAACAATTTTTGGACGCCATATTGAATCCGCCATTTTGAATTTTAGAAATTTTTAGTTTTTTCTTATGGTAAGCAAAATATACTACCCAGTGCTAATTTTAACGTTAATTCAGAGGTGTTTTCTTCATCAGATTTATTTTTAAGTATAAGTTTATGTCCCATCTCACGTTTTCAGGTGCGTTTATAGGTTATATTGGAGCCGCCATATTCGATTTTTCAAAAGGCACGATAGTTTTCGAAAGTACTTATGTATACCAATAATTTCCTGGTATGAGCGATAATTTTGAAAGCTCTCAATTTTGCAGGGAAGGGTGGCCCGGTTGGCGCGAAGCGTCCCAAATATATGTGGGATGTTTCACGTCAACCGGCCCAAAGGTATGTCCAAAATTCTATACAATAAAAATAAACATGTAATAGATGAAAATACTCGTAAACTCATCCCCTTTCAATTGCAAAGTGTAAAAATTGAAAATTCAAAATGTCGTCCTTACTATGTTAAGTGGAAGCGGCTAACTTCAGAAATAAGTAAATATATTTATTAATTTCTTTTAGAAAATTATGCAAAAATTTTAGATCACCATATATTTTAATGTTTTGGGGTCGCTGATTACGAATCTGAAGTCAGTTTTTCAAAATTTAAAATGGCGGATTATTTTTTAAAAATTCATTGAATTTGATTGAAACTTGTTACTCAGGGGTTTTCGAGGTCGGTGATTACAAATCTGAAGTCAGTTTTTCAAAATTAAGAATGGCAGATCCAATATGGCGGACGAATTTTTAAAAATTCATTGAATTTGCTTGAAACTTTTTACTCGGGGGTTTTGGAGGTCGCTGATTATGAATCTGAAGTCCTAGCGTTTTGAGATACCTGAGGTCTTCCTCAAACACAACTTTTCCTTAATTTTTCTTTACTCTCTGCTATGATTTAGAAGGAAATTAGATACAATATTTGTAGATAAGATTAGTCACCTTGTTGCGAGTCAAAGAAACTGTATAAATCGAAAGGAAGAAAACGAATAATCAAATAATGTGGCTGATTCAGTACATTTCATTATTAACTGATTAACTGAGTTTTAGTAACTGCTTAAATGCGGTTGTAATAATAATTTATTTTCATGAATGTTCATGTAAATAGTAACAACATTTGAGCATTGTAAAAACATGGACGATATCTAAAATATAAAAGTGTTTATTTATTCATCAAAATATCAAAATGATGATTGACGCTGTAAATTTTACAAAATTGACATGTGACTCATTGTCAGACATCATAATCGAAAGCTACAAAGATTGTTTCAAATTAAATTTGTGCCAAAATCCTCAACCATCTTGTTTTTTGCTAGAATGTAATTCCTGTCCCGGTATTGAAAATTTCACTTCAAAAATTTTATCCATTTTGGAAGAAAATGATATTTCGGAAATCATTTTTAGTTCTTGGCAATTGACAGACAGATGCAATTTAAAAAAATTGTGCCTTTCTCCGGAAGATTATGTCAAAAATCTGTCAAATGATTTCCAAAAGTTTTCCCACCACCATTTCATCGCTGAAAATCAGTCCAACTTCTTTAAAGGCAGAAAAGAAACTCTGGAAGATGAGGAGGTAATTTTGCAGTGCGATTTTTCCGAAAAGTATGCTTTCGTTTTTCAGGATGCTGCACAAGGATTTCATTACAACAATTATCAGTGTACAGTCCTTCCTGTAGTTTTTACTATAAGCATAAAGGCGAATTAAAGCACTACAGCATGATATTACTGTCTGATAGTAACAGTCAGGACACATCTGCAGTTTACTTACTGCAACAGAAAGTAATGCCCATCATCAAAGAGGTTTGACCAAGAGCAAAAAAAGTCATTTACTTTAGTGATGGAACGAAGCAGCACTATAAAAATCGCTTTTAAATTGTTAACCTCGTACACCACAAGGAAGATTTTAACTTAGAGGCAGAGTGGCATTTCTATGTAACAGCACATGGAAAAGGTTCATGTGATGGCATAGGAGCTATTTTAAAGAGAGAAGCCACACGTGCTAGCTTGCAATCCTCACCAGACAAAGCCATTTTAAATGCAGAGAGTCTTTACCAATGGGCTAAGCAAAATATCAAGACTTCGCAGATTTTCTTTTACAACAAGCAACAACACGAGACAGTGGAACGAAAACTTGCTAGTAGATTTTCTAAAGCACCTAGTGTTACAAAAATTCAATCTGCTCATTCTTTTATTGTAACACCAGAAAAACAATTAAAAATATTCAAATGCACCTCATCCTATTTCAGTTACGTAATATTAAAATATAATTACATTGGTTTGGATGTATTTTGTAAATTTAATTCAAACGGACTTTTTTAAGGCCACCAAAAAATTATGGTTTGCAACGTGCTTTTTAAATAAATAATATTGCGCATCTAGCGCGTTGTTGATAATTATTATTAAGAAAAACCTATCTCGAAACCTCGTTCTCTCTGGGGAGATTCCGCCAAACAAAACCGACGGTGCAAAACGGTGGGACCAACGAACCCAAGGGAAGCCAACACTTACCCACGATGTCTTCAGCAGCAAATCTCCGCAATCTGTAATTAATAATAACGCCAACTCGCAGTTAAACACTGATTCTCACGAGTATAATTCTTTATTAAAAAATAAGTAAATCACAGTCAACAATAATTAAACTATCAATCAAAATTGATTGATTGTCGAATGAATAGTGCTCGCCTCGATCGCCACTGCGCGCTAAGGTCCTTCTTCCTTGTCCGGTCCTTGTCTCGCAGCTTGGAAAATCTATCTCTCGTTCTTCGTCACTCCGACGCAACAACCACCTGTAAGGGGGAAATTCGGATGTCGCGTCGCCGACCAAATTCGCAACCCTTCGAAATCACGCCTGCGCGACTCATTAATATTCGTTCTGTCCCACGAAACACATCTTTTAAAAAAAGGCCCTCAAAATAATATTACAAATCTCGACGAACGAAAGCAATATTTTGTTCGTATAACGAATGCCTCGTTATAGGTTTAAAAATTACAACAATCAGCCTTTTTCAAGGCTACCAAATTCTTATAGTTCATAATTATAACAATCGGCCTTTTTAAAGGCCACAAAGTAATTATATTTGATTTGCCATTTTGAATTTTGAAAAACTGACTTCAGATTCGTAATCATCGACCTCGGAAACCCCCGAGTAACAAGTTTCAATTAAATTCAATGAATTTTTAAAAAATAATCCGCCATATTGGATCCTCCATTTTGAATTCTGAAAAACTTGCTTTAGATTCGTAATCAGCGACCCCACAAACATTAAAATATGTGGTGACCTACAATTTTTGCATAATTTTCTAAAAGAAATTAATAAATATATTTACTTATTTCTGAAGTTAGCCGCTTCCACTTGACATAGTATGGACGCCATTTTGAATTTTCAATTTTGACACTTTGCAATTGAAAGGGGATGAGTTTATGAGTGTTTTCAT